TGACCCTGGATCGGCAATAGCAGGTTAACTCCCATGCTGGGTGGGACCCTCACCCAGCTGCTACGCCAAGAAAGGCTGAGGAGACCTGGGTAGCAAGGCTTGGCCTGCACCACTTACTAACACTATGACCAGTATCTCTCCTTCACAGAGAAGCTTTTTACCAATACCAGTCCTGTAACTTGCCATATTGTTTCCTGCCTGACTTCAGCAAGCTCTGGAAGAGGTTCTGCTGTCAGACCTCCACGCATGTCTTTTGCTTTACCTTATCTAACAAATTGATTCCCCAAGTTTAATAAGAGTGGGACACTTAAAAATTTTACTCACCAGGAAAGTTTCACCAGAGGAAAGGCATAGGGACTTCTAGGTTTCACAGAGGCTTTTATTATCTCATTAAGTTCTCCTTAATGAGAACTTCCTCACCTGCTGCAGTCTCCCTCTCATTCATTTGCACCCACCATCATGCTGATGGTACTTTCAAGGCTGTCTTAGCTCCCACCCCTTCCTCCCTCCCTCTTTCCTCTTAACTATTCTGAGCCCAGTTTCTATTTCCATGCTCTCATCCAGGTCCCAAGGAGAAAATACCTTCTCCTCTTGAGCTACTGCTTGCCACGTCCTCCTTGGCTGGTTTCCTCCCTTATATCTCTGCATCTTCTCCCAGCTCCAGAGTCACCTGCTGTACTCCTCCAAAGCAAGGCAGCGAGAGCTCTTGTTGAGATCCCTGACTTACGTGCTTGCTAAAACAGTGTAGAACTGCCAGGCATAGCAATAATCCACAGCTGTTGAGGACCTACTCTGTGCTGCAATGCACCCCAGGCTTTAACTCCTTGAGATTCTTGATGAATCCTCATCTAATATCCTGTCTTCGTTACAGAATCAGCTGTGTCACAAGACCCAGTTACACCATGGTTGTCCCTCAGCATGCGTAAACCACCACAGTTATTTTCTCTTGCACTAAAGATATAAGAACATCTTACCATCCTGCTAGACCCTAGTCTGACCAAAACTGTAACACTGATGCAGTGCCACTTAGGCCTGTGATTGAATCAAGATAGGACACAGGCAGGCTGTAATTTGGATTCTGCCAATTCTCTTTTCAGCATACAGAGGTCTGTCATCCCTCACCCAATAAGGCCTGATGACATAATTCTTCCCATCTACACCAGCTAGTGAAGTATCACCGTCCCTTGCTACCATCCTTGGAGGGCAGCTCTGGACCACAGCTTCAGCCAGTGCAGTTTCTGCAGTCAGAAGGCACAGCCTGTGACAAATCCTCTAGCCAAAAATCACCTGCCAAGTCTTTCTGAGCTCTTCACCAAGATGTTTTGGTGATTCTGTATTTACCTTGCCCAATATCAAATTATTAGTGACCTCATCAGACTGCTCACCCTGGTCTGCTAATTCATACCAAACTCTCTGACTATCAAAACTTGCTTATTCTCTCAGCTAAGGCTCCCCCCTGCACAGCCTGAACCCCGCACGCCCCAATGGCTCGCTCTGCCCGTCCCAGCCCACTGTTTGTATGAGTGGGGCTGTTGGATCAGCCCCTCCATGGGACCAATGAAGGCCTCACACCAGCAGGGCAGCAGGTTCAGCATCTTTCTCAATCACTGCAAATACTAGGGGGTTCAGGCTGTTCCACCCATCCGATCGCATCTGAAAGAGCCTTGAGAGCAAAGCTGCGTCAGAGGGGGGCACAGCTGCCAAAAGAGTCATTCAACTTCTTTGGATTGTTTGCACACCTTTGGAAAAAAATTTCCCCCCTTTTTTTTTCATTCAAGCTTTTCTAGATAAGCACATGACAAACACAAGTATCAGAGAGAATGAACAGCCTGACTTCCAGTTAGGAATGAAGGACTATCACAATTATCACTGTGATGATGAGATAGTCTGAACATGAGGGAACTCGATACAATGGGAGATTTATCTTGGAACCAGTCCCTTGGCAGCCTGACCCCATACTGGTGTCAGCATGGTTTCTTATTGCAGAAAGGCTAGGGATCAGACCTGGGATGACAGACCCATCTCTATCTCAAGCGCATCCTGTAACACAGCAATGGCCATTACCATCGATCAAACATTCGCTTCCCTCTTATTTCTCCCAGCAGTATTTTGGCAAGTGTTCTCAGGAATGGCTTTCTGAAAGCTTTCTCAGTCCGTTCCCCATCATGCAGGGAGATGTTCAGCTTTGTAAAGATACACTATTTTGCTTAGGCATAATAATGTGCCACTTAGAGCGGAGGTAACTTCTGGGAGGGATATTGCAAGAGGGAGAGAGAGCAGCTTGGTCTCAGGTCTGGGTTCGGATGGGGTTAGCCAGTGAAACAGAGCTGCTGTGTGAAAGGAATGCTGGGCTAGGCTGGGATGCCAGGAAGGAGATGGTGCTCTGTAGGTTAGTTACCTACCGGTATTCCAGTGGTAATTCTTCAGATCACCCAGACACTCTGCTTCATTTAAATCCTGTTGTCCCATGGGAACCCTGTACCCACCTTGAATGTCCAAATGACCCAGAAAATTGCTTTCTTTCCTACCACAAACCAGGTAAATACTTCAAGTCTGGAGCTTCAAGGGTGCGGGGATGAGAGAGGCATGACAGGAATCTGAGGCCTTGGTCCAACACTCTCAGAGACTCTTGTCACAGGGAATTACGTGGGCTCTGCAAACAGATAAGGAAAACCAGAAACAGCAAATGCTGGTCTGCACAACCTTGACACTGCAATCGATGCTGTAGTTTATCACCAGGAGCAAGTAAATAGCCCCTGAGTTGCATGCTGCATAGCAAACATTGCAGTTTTATCTGGATGACAGGCAGCAATTTGTGGCAAAGGGTAAATCTCTCTGTTCACTCATGCTTGACATATGGATGGTCCTGTTACATTCCCTGTTCTCAGTGGGCTTATGCATGATTTTAAGGTTAAGTACATGCATGCCTGTAGGATCACAACCTTCATATAATATTGCCTGGCCCAGCAGACCCATAATTAATCCCTAACATGTTCAAGTGACAGCTCTCACTTGGTAATGTCATCCATGCAGAACAACGAGGTACGTGTAAATTCGTCAGTTCGTGCTGTGAGTCAGAGACTTTCCAGCCATCGGAGCAGTGAGGCTCCAAGGCAGGTTTCTGGCAGGGTGAACGGGACAAATGGTAGCTTTGACCATTTTACAGGCAGATTGGGCAGGCCAGGAGAGGGAGGTGTGATACAGTCACCTAATCGTTCAGCTGCCTAGGATGGGCTGGGAATGACAGCACCTCAATGCCACCGTTCCCTTTTACGTGACCAACATTTTCTACTATGAAGATTAAAGCAGTTTATAGGCTGATCAAGCCTAGGAAGAAAACGCCCACCATCTTCATCCTGAGCAGTTTGCAAATGTGAAACTGGAGTAGACCCAGCTCAGCCACACTTGGTCTTCTTTCTTCTCCAAACCACTCGTTCTCAAATGTGCCAAAAGGTCTGAAACCCAACGATAAGCCAGAGCTGCAGGCTGGCAATCAGATCCACATGGACAGAGTGCCCCAGGCAAGTCCTCACACCCAGGTTGAGTCCTGTCTACTTCAGTCATGAGAGTTGCTGCTAATGCCAGTGGTTTCCAAATTCTGAGTATTTAATCTTTTTATCTAGTTGTTCTTTTACCGAAGATGAGCATGCTCCGTCAGGTTGCATCAACAAGTGTTTTATCACACAGGCAACACAACAGGCTGGGTATGTTTTACATAAGTTTAATGGGGTTTAATATTCATTCACCAACAGTACAAAATGTCAGATCTTCACTATTTAAGGGCCAGAAACATGTCAAATGCACACACACAGACAAGCATTGCTCAGCAATAGTTATGTTGTACATCAAACCTGAGGAACTGGAGCACAACCAATAATTTGTCCTGCCACACATCTGGGGAGAGAAAAGATGAGTGTCTTACTAGCTATTCCAGACCCAAGAAAAATACATATAGCCATTTCATTTAACCCTATTTCTTTAAAAGCTGCACGTGTAGGAGTGCCTCTGGATGGATCCCACTGCACGTTCAAGCTGCTTTTTTTTTAAAAATTATTTTGTCCTTAAGCTTTAGCAGCCCATGCACCAGACTGGAATGATACATGGGAAAGGATTTTTGTATTTTGTTAACTAATTTAATTACAAGGGACTTATGGAATAGCTCTCCCCTCCCTCTTCTTCTCCTCTGGACAGCCGAAATGCTGACCCAGCTGTACACCTCAGCACAGCCGTACACCTCACCACAGCCATACACCTCCAGCACAGCTGTACTCTGCCAGTGCAGCTGCACCCGATTTTGCTCCCTGGTGAAACCCCAGCAAAGCTGAGCTGCCAGGGAAGTCTGGTAAGGGCAGGGAAGAAAATCTCCCCTTGGGTCGCCACGTGTAAATGCACTGCAGGCAGGTGAATCCAACAGAGATGCAAACAGGATTTGTCCCCAGATGCCTCCCCTGGACGCGTACAAGGTGACCCTGGGCTAGGCAGCGTGGAGAGCACCTGAGAGCTCCCTCCTTGAGAGCCCCAGGAGGAAAGGAAAGGAAAGGGAGCTCTGCCAGCAGAGTCACAAACCCAGCGAATTTTATAAAGGGTCCCCTGTTAAAAACTGGAAGCTGTAAGAGATCAGCAGCGCTGAGGCAACCAAGTCTGACAACTGGCAGCCACCACCCAGGCTGTGATTGCCCCCTCAGCATGGCCAGCCAGGGAGATATTTTGCCAGGTATGATGGACCATAGGGGGATGGAAGAGATAGAGAGACACAAGGCAGCCAAGGAAGCAACACAAGGAGCAAAATGTACTTTGACTTTCCCGCCCTGCTGCAGCCCCAGATGGTTGTTTAATTTCTGTAATATATTAAGTCATAGTAGGTTTGAGATACCTCCAAAACGTGAAATCACACTTCATTAGCATGCGCAGCCCTTCGCAGCCCCCAGTCCTGCGACTATAGCTCTGAAATGAAGGGAAATCGCAGAGAAAAGAACTGCCCCCTCCACACCAGTGCCCGCTCAGACCCTCGGGACCTCCGCTTCCGAAGCAGACCTGGACTTCCGCCGGCTGGTCAGACTGCCCAAGACCGACTCCTCACTGAAGGCCCCTTCAAAGGTCGACAGGATGGACTGGCGAAACTTCTCCTTGAAATCTGGCCCCACAAATACGTACAGGATGGGGTTGATGCAGCTGTTGAAGAAAGCAAGGCTGGAAACCAAGGGGATCCCTATGTAAAGGGCCATTTTCATCTCGTGACTGGAAGAGTTTTTGGATATTTCCAGCAAGGAGAAGACGTGATAGGGGAAATAACAAAGGAAAAATGAGACTGTGACAGCAATGATAATTCTGTATGGCTTCGCAGAGTTGGCTAACTGCCGCCTTTTCAGCTTGACAGCAACGATGCTGTAGCAGATGAGAATCACCGTGAAAGGGATGAGGAACCCACATAAGAATCGCGTTATGATCATCGCTTTATGCCGCATCCTCCACAGCCTCCGCGTTGCCTCAGACGTGTAGTCATCGGAAAGTGCAAAATTATTATAGCAGCTGGTGATGTTCCTGGAACTGACCACCGTGTCCCGAAAGACGAGGTACGGGGAGCTAAGGAGGAGAGCCAGGACCCATGTCCCCAGTGCAATCCTGGCTGCCAGTTCCGGACTCCTGCGGTTGTGAGACCAGACAGGAAAGGCCACAGAAACGCAGCGGTCCATGCTGATGACCGTCAGGAGGAAGACGCTGGCGAACATGTTGAGGAATGCGATGGTGCTGTTCAGCTTGCACAGGAGCTTCCCAAATGGCCAGTGAAAGCCCAGGGCGGTGTAGGCGATGCTGAGGGGCAGGAAAAAGGTGAAGATGAAGTCAGCAATGGCCAGGTTGAGGAACCAGACAGAGTTCACTGTCTTCTTCATCTTGAAGCCTGCGATCCAGATGACGAGGCCGTTCCCTGTCACCCCCAGCAAACAGGCAATGCTGTACACCACCATGGAGAGGATGTGCATGCTCTTCTGCAGGCCAGAGTAGTAGTCATGGGCAGTGGCGTTCTTGGACTGCACGGTGGGGGAACTGGCAGAGAAGGGCGAAGGGGAAGAAGAGATGCTCTCCATCACCGGCAAGCTGGAGTCCTGAAATTGTAATAGCACACACCGCTATTATCTGCAGCTCCTACAGCTCAGGGGAGGAGAACATCTTTGCTAGTGACTGTACACAAAATGTATATGCAAAGCCAGATTATATAACTTAATATATAATTAATATAAAGTCCTTCTCGATAGCATCTGCAGCTGCACATCACAGAAACTACCGCGACCAGAGAAACCGACCCAGGTTTTGCTGCTGGCGTTGGCGCTGCTGGAACACCACCTCCATAAACAGCCTACAACAGCAACCCAACATGGGCCGGCGGCAGAACCGTGGAAACCCAAATCCCTCAGCTATGATGGGTCCTCTTCAGATGACCGATGACAAATTAAGATAGCAAAAACCATCTAGACTGATAAAGATTAGGTTAAAAGACTGTTCCTGCAACAAATACTTCCAGGGCGATGCACTCCAGTAGGCAGAACAGTACCCGAGGTGTATTCTGGTGTAACCGTCAGCCCTTCACCCACAAACCTTCCTCCTGGCGAGCCCACCGTTCTCCTTGCCCTTTGGCACCCTGCCTTGGCCCACCGCCTCACTGGGTTCAGGTCCGGGTCCCGTCAGGACTCACCACGGCACCACGCTCCTTGGCCGCTCTGCCCACAGCGGCTGGTCTCACCTGCTGGCTGACTCCCCTTTGGGACGCTGCTTCTCTCTGGAGTGACTCACGCTGCCTCGTCCCGTTTTGCCATGGCTTGGGATCACGAGGAATTTAGTCGGATCGCTTATTCCCTAATCTTGTTCCTCAATTTGTGGTACGTTGATTTAACCCCTGAAGCCCCGGCGGCCACAGGCTCCCTCGGGCCGCTTGGCCAACCCCATCGGCAAAGCACCAGGAAAACACATCCCCTCTCCTGCCTGTGACACTCACACCCCCCCATCCCAGGCACTGTCCTTCCTCCCGAGTGCCCGGACACCCCACCGGGCACCGGGGCTGCCCTGCGGCCGAGGCGGGGGGAAGAGGGGGACCCATGGAGCACCGTACCGGTGCTGCCAACCCATGTGGCAGCCTGGCAGGCCTGCTCGCCTTGAGACGTGGTTTCAGCCAGCACCCCGACCTTGGGGGTGGCTGGAAGCGCTCCCTGCCCAGCGCGGGGTGGGGGGTGTCCCGTCCTCCGGCTCATGGGGGGAACCGAGAGGTACCCCCGGATCGCTGGGATCACCGCAGGCAGGGCTGGGGGAGAGGGTCGTCCCCCCGCCCCAGGGCATAGGGCAGGCGGGGCCGGAGCTGCCGGGTGACTGCGGGGGGGGTGACAGCAGAGGGGGAATGACGGCAGAGTGGTGACGGCAGAAGAGCTCCCACCTGCCCGGGCCAAGGTCACCCGCACCCCCACCGCCACGTGCTGGCTGTACCGCCAGACCCGCCTCGGAGGGGACCAATAGGACGCGGGGAGGAGGAAGAGCTCGGCTCTGATTGGCCCATACACTTCTGGAGCGTTTTTCCCCGCCATCGGCCTACCGGTGCGAAACGAGGCGCTGATTGGCCGAGGCGCGGAGAGGCGTGCCTGAGTGGTCTAGGCTAGGCGCGCGAGTTCCCGCGCGGTGGCGGAGCGGGACCGGGACCAGGACCAGGACCGGACTGGACTTCGGTGCGGCGCTGCGGGCGGGTAGGGAACGGGACCAGGACCGGGCATGCGGGGCAGAGAGGGCAGAGCAGGAGCAGGGCAGACCGCTGTGGGGTGAGATCCGGGCAGGCAGCGCCGTCCCCCCACTGCCGGTGTCTAGGGCAGGGGGATCGCGTCACCAGGAGCCTGTCAAGGATGTGGAAGGTGATGGAACCGGGATACGGGGGCGGGGGGGTGTGCAGGGCCAGGCGGGGATGGAGCCTCAGGGTGGGGGTTTGCCCCTGCAGCAGATGAACTGCCACGAGGGTGGAAATGGGGGTCTCATCCTGGGTGGGGAACAGGGAGCTTTGTCCCCCCGGAGCCTTCTGCAGGTTTGCTAAAATTGCTGGGTGCAAGTACTGCCGCGACCTGCCCTGGGGGGACACGCTGGACCCAGCTGTCCCCTTCAAAGCCAGAGCGCTACACCCTGCCCTTTCCCTTGCAGCCCTTTCCCTATCCCAATCCAGCTTTTCTGACAGTGAGGATTCCCTCCCTGCCAGGCTCATGGATAGGGAGGAGGCCCACACTGAATGGGCTTCAGCAGCTTGGCACAAGCAAACTAAGAGCAACTGCTTAATAACCTGCTCACGGCCCTTTGCTGGCCTTGCAAGGTTAATGAGTAAAAAGATGCATTGTTTTCAGCCGAGGCAGAAGCTGGACTGTCATGCCTGCCGCGGAGCTTGTGTTCTGCATTATAATGCTAGCAGCCGTGGAACCCGGTGGGGCTGGAGGGCTGCTGCCAGGGCTGGGCATCCCACATGCCACGGAGTCAAGCTGAGGCAAAGCTGCTGCCTCTCAGGTCCCAGCTCCACAAGCCATGCTTGCTTCAGTTAGCATTTGGGGCAGGACTCCAACCTGCTGGGGGTTTGCCCTCACAGCTATGCACAAGGGAAAGTAGCCAAGAGGTTTAGGCATGCTGGGGAATGCAACGCACATTAAAATTGAGATCTGTGGGTATGAGCATTTCACTGCCCTTGAAATTAAACAGCAGTTTTAATAAGACACCCTTCTGTACATGAGGGCATTTGCTAGCATTTCCTAGAAGTCCTAAGAATCACAGATATACAGGAGCGAGAGGGAAAGGCATTGCTTGTGTTGCTGATAAGGTTTGGTCCACATGCAGGTTCATCATGTCCCCAGGTGTCTGACAAGGCACTGCAGAGACGGGGGCGGGGGGACCCCCAGGCAGGGCGGTGATGGGAGAGTATCAGAAATTATCGAAGCACTATAATGAATGAACTGATCTTAAATCAGTGGGGAAACCTGACAGTTGTCTGTGTTTTCCTTAGCCAGTGGGCCGCAGCCCATGGCTGGTCCTTCTGTATTTCCGGGGAAGATGTGGGATGGGAGCAGGCAGGACACAGTGCCGAAGTACCCAGCCCCACTGCCATCTCACAAACTCACCTCTCTGCCAGCAGGTGACCTTGGACCGAGCAGGATGATGGCAAACTCAACGCAGGGAGACAGGGGCCTCCCCAGCGCAGAGCTCTGGGCCTCCCATAACAGGATGGTAATGGAGCCACTCGACACCAATGACCCAGAGGTGAGAGCCCCTTCCTGGCCCCAACCCAGCAGCTGCTTTGTTCATCTCCCGGACAGCCATGGGGATGCTGACCTCCTCAAGCCCATCTGGCGGGGAGACAATCCAAGGCTGAGATAGTGGGACCCATCCATCCTCTGTGCCCGCTCTGCCTGCAGTGAGAGGAGAGGGAGGGCATCCTCCAACCATCTACAGATAACATGGCCATAACTTCACATCTATTGCTCATACCCCTCTGCTCAAAACTCTAATGTCCACACCAGAGCAGCTGGCCCACCAGGCCATGTGGCAGTTGCCCTTGACTCGATAGCCTAAATGACAGCTGAATTATCTGGCAGCTTCCTGACAGGTAGAAACCCAAAACATGGCCTTGACCAGACACATGAACTGTTTGGGATCAGCTGAACCAAGAAGGGATCTCATCTCCCTTCTCCAGCACCTTTCCAGGCTCCTCTCCATTGCCCTGTCCCCTCCAAGGGTGCATCCCCTATGGTGGAGCCTCCACATCTCCATGCAGAGCTGGCATGGGTGAAGCTGTTTCTCTCCTCTCCCAAAGGTGCACAGCATCATCAAGAAGGAGAAGCAGCGGCAAACGCTGGGGCTGGAGTTAATTGCATCGGAGAACTTTGCAAGCCGAGCAGTCCTGGAGGCCCTGGGATCCTGCCTGAACAACAAATACTCTGAGGGTTACCCAGGACAGAGGTAGGGGCTCGGGCTCCGTCCCGCCCAACCCAAAACCTCACAGGGAGGGAGAGGAACCACGCTGCCAGACCTCACCTCTGGGAAAGAAGCAATGTCCTTGTGCTGGCAGCCAAGCTCCTCCAGGGCAGAATCTGACTCTCTCAGCTTCTGTCCATGGCCATGGATGGGACAATCTCAGCAATGTCACATCTGCTGCAGCTGCTGTCCCAGTGGCTGCTGGAAATGCGGCATCACCCTGGTTTCTCCCCAGCTTGGTCACAGGTTCTAAGTAATGAGTTTGGTTTTAACCCCTGCCCCGTCCTTTACCGGCAGGTACTATGGCGGGACGGAGTTTGTAGACGAGCTGGAAAGGCTGTGCCAGAAGCGAGCCCTGCAGGCGTACCAGCTCGACCCCCAGAAGTGGGGTGTCAACGTCCAGCCCTACTCAGGTAATGGGGTGCTCAGGAGAGCCAGGCCAGCTGCACCAGCCTCCGCGCGTCCCAGCACCCGTAACGGGCCCGGTGTGCTCTTGCTGCAGGGTCACCTGCAAACTTTGCGGTGTACACGGCCCTGGTGGAGCCCCACGGCAGGATCATGGGCCTGGACCTGCCCGATGGGGGCCACCTCACCCATGGGTTCATGACGGACAAGAAGAAGATCTCTGCCACCTCTGTCTTCTTCGAGTCCATGCCCTACAAGGTAAAGACAGCTGCTCCAGCCGGAGCCAGGATGCGGTTGTCATAAGTGTTAGTGCCTCTTAACAGTATGGGCGTCAGGCTCCCAGCACCCCCTCCTGCAGGATGACCCTGCAGCTGATCTTCACCCATACCAAGGTGGCTGATCCCTCCTCTTTCTCTCCCAGGTCAACCCCAAGACCGGTTACATCGACTACGACCGGCTGGAGGAGAACGCCCGCCTCTTCCACCCCAAGCTGATCATAGCAGGTAAGGATCAAACTCTTACCGACCTCCCTGGTGACACACCCTGGGTGGAGGTGGCTCCCCGAAGCGAGTAGTGCCCCGGTAAGCCTGTGGGTATCCACGGATGCTGCAATGCCGGGAGGAGACCTCAAATACATCCACACTGGCAAAAGCTTGTGTGCTGTCCCCAGCTGGGCTGTCCCCATCGTAGGGCTGGACCTGGGTCTGTCCCAAGGTCCTTGCGCATCTGCTCCTGTCCCCAACACGTCCTATCTCCCTGCAGGTGTCAGCTGCTACTCGCGCAACCTGGACTATGCCCGCATGCGAAAGATCGCTGATGCTAACGGTGCTTATCTCATGGCCGACATGGCCCACATCAGCGGGCTGGTGGCTGCCGGCGTGGTGCCCTCCCCCTTCGACCACTGCGATGTTGTCTCCACCACCACCCACAAGACCTTGCGGGGCTGCAGGGCTGGCATGATCTTCTACCGCAAAGGTGCCTGACCTGGCTGGGGAGCCAGGAGAAATGCTCCCCCAGGCCGGGGGGCTGCAAGTTAAAGCTCCTTCCTGCTCTAGCTGGGAAGGAGGGAGGGCAGGAAGGTCCGGGGCCTCCCGGGAGAGTCTGGGGAGTTTCCCAGGGCCAAGTGTGGCCCAGATTTGAAAAAGAACAACAACCATCCCTTCTCTGAGTAGCGACAGGGTGAAAGCAGCTCATGGGAGAAGGGTGGCCGTGCTGCCTTGTGAGTAACCCTGCCCTCCCCTCCCACAGGCACCCGCAGTGTGGACCCCAAGACGGGCAAGGAAACACTCTACAACCTGGAGAGCCTCATCAACCAGGCGGTCTTCCCTGGGCTGCAGGGAGGCCCGCACAACCACGCCATTGCAGGTACGCACCCAGGCTGGCCACCAGCTCCAGGAAGGCAAAGGGAGCCAGCAGAGATGTCCTGGCTGGGCTCTGACCCCCAGCAGCAGGGCGGGGGGCTCCAGCTGCTGCAAGGGACTCACAGCCTGGAGATGCTGCAGCAAGGAGCAGCCGGCTTAATCCAGCATTGCCCAAGAAGCAACCAGGCTTTTCCCATCCTGCCTTTTGGCTCATAGCGATGCTGCCAGCCTGGCTAGGGGAAGGGACTGTCCGTCAGTTTGCCCAGCTCCCAGGGTGACTTCTGCCGGCGGTGCCATGCATCCCTGCCAGCTCTCCCAGTGGGAGCCCCCCAAAACTCACCATGGTCTGCCTTCCTCCGCAGGGATCGCCGTGGCGCTGCGGCAGGCCACGACGCCCGAGTTCAAGGCCTACCAGCAGCAGGTGGTCGCGAACTGCAAGGTGCTCTCAGCAGCGCTGATGGAGCTGGGCTACGACATCGTCACGGGTGAGGACAGGTCTCGGCCACAGGATGGGGCTGACCCCTCTGCGTAGCCCGGGGCCCAAGCCAGGCCATGAGGGTGGTGCAGACATGATGGGCAGGGCTCTGCCATCACAACTCCTCAGGACATCCGCAAAACTATTTTGAAGCAGCAGCCCCCCCTCCGAAGGGCAGGTCCCCTTCTGCCCCCAAAACCAGGAACAGGCCCCACTGCAGTCCAAAACCTTTTTTTGCTGAAGTTTCACATGGGAGCGGTGTTTACCCTGATCCCATGTCCCCCAACAAATCCCTCTCTTTGCAGGGGGCTCCGACAACCACTTGATTCTCCTGGACCTGCGCAGCAAAGGCACTGACGGCAGCCGGGCCGAGCGGGTGCTGGAGATCTGCTCCATTGCCTGCAACAAGAACACGTGCCCCGGTGAGGGATCCCACAAGCTCTGCCATGTCCTGCCCCGCACGCTGCGGATCTCCCATAGCCTGTGCAGAGCTTCCTGCAGGGTTCCCAGCTCCCGGCCCATCCCGGGCACTGGGAACCACACCAAGTTGCCATGCACAGCAGTTTCGGTACCCGATTTGGTCATGCGTGACTTGTTCTGGTGCAGGTGACGTCAGCGCCCTGCGCCCCAGCGGCCTGCGGTTCGGCACGCCGGCTCTCACCTCCCGAGGCTTCCGGCAGGACAATTTCCGCGTGGTGGCTCAGTACATCCACAGAGGTGAGGCTGGGGCGGGCATGCCTGGGGCCGAGTCTCAGCTCCGGCACTAACCTGGGGCCAGGGCAGCTCCTCCAGGACAGGAGGCACAAGCCAGGTGGCTTCCCCAGCAGCTGGCGAGGGAGCACATACACAAGCGAGGAGTAACTCTCCCACTTGCACATCTGGATGTGGGAGAGGACATCTGGCCACAGCTGGGACCGGCCAAACCCTCCCCACTGCATTAGCAGCAGGCTGAAAGCCTGCACTTTTCCCAGTCTAGTTCCAGTTGTCCCCAAGGATCTTACACTGGTTTCCTGGGTCAGCAAGTCCCTCCCACATCTCGGGGAGCAGCCCCAGCGCTGCTGTGGGGTGGTGCAGGGCTAAGCCAGCAGCCCAGCCTCGCAGGTTCCCTGCGGCAGGGCTGGGAGAGCTGTGGGGTGCGGGCACAGGCTGAGGTGTTGCAGCTGTGAGGACTGACTGAGGCATCTGCCATCCTGGCAGGGATCGAGCTGACACTGCGCGTGCAGAAAGACATGAGCCCCAAGGCCACGCTGAAGGAATTCAAGGAGAAACTAGAGGAGGAGAAATACCAGAGGGAGCTGAAAGCACTGAAGGAAGAGGTGGAGGCCTTCGCAGCGGCCTTCCCACTCCCAGGGCTGCCCGTCCTGTAAGGGAAGCACCCATGCGCACTCCCGGAGCTGCAGAGGTACCTGGGATCGTGGCACACTCGCACCCCCAGCCCAAGACCAACGCCCCAGTACCTTGTCCCAGCACCTCCCTGCTGGCACTGGCTGCAGTGCAGCATCAGTTTCTCATTCAGCTTTTGCTCATCTCTCCCCTCCCGTTTGGGGCGCAGGACCCCCCTGAGCACAGCCCCCCCCACCCCCATGGGGAAACCAGCCCTTTCACCGAGCACCAGGTAACAACCCTCAGCCTCGTTCGATCCCGCTCTCCCTGGCTGTGGGAGTGGCAGATGAGGTTTAGGCAGCCCTGCCTGCGTTCACCCGGATACCCCTGCCCACAGGATCGGGAGGGACATGGAGGGGGGTCCACCTCAGCAGGAGCCACCCCCTGCCGCAGCCAGGCACGCTGTGCTTGGCTGCACAAGAGGCTTCACAGCCGCTAAAAGCCTCCCTGGTTTCAGCCTCGAGGATTTCCCTTCGTGTGCACAAGCCCGCTGCCTTCTAGCCTCTGCAGGCTTTGACAAGGCCAAGCCTTGTCCTTAACTGCCCTCCCAGGATCACCATCCCATCCTAGCCAGCGTCTCTGGTATTTTCTCAGACCTCTGAGCACAAAGCTTAGGTAGAACCATTTTTTAATAAGCACGGTAAAATTAAGAATTTAACCACAATGTATGACAAGAATTATAAGCTTTAAAAAATACAACCAATTTTTTTTTTTGTATTTCAAAAATATCTGAACCCAAATAAATAATTTTTTTTTTAAAAGTACATTTCTCAGACTAGTCATTTGGTGTTAACATCTGTTAAACTCTTGTGCAGTAACACTTACAGCACGACACTAAGACATGCTTCTTGGATTTCTCCCGGTCACACTCGCTCTAACTACCGATGCAAGCATTCGGCACGCACAGGCACACACACGTAACTCAACATGCAGTAATAGGATACAGTGCTTTAAAATAAGATGAGAATTCATCACAGCCTCCTTGCAGCCCTCAGAGGCAGCTCTTAGCCCAGCCCCATCCCCGTGCCGGCAGCGAGGCAGCCAGCGGGACCGGGTACCCTGTGTTTCTGCCTTCCAGTTAAAACGCATCTCGGGGACCAGCGTGCAGTGGATTTGTGACCCCTCCAATATCGGGGTACAGTCTGTTGCTCTGACATTGTGCTAGTGGGGCACCGTGCGGAGCAGGCACTCTCCTTTAGCCTGGGCAGCTCGCTAAGTTTCCCATCGTACCTTATTACAGGAGCCTTTTCGAAGTGCTGCGACAAGCCCCGGGTCCTGCCCAGCTCTCTGAGATGCTGAATCCACAGTGTGGGCTGTCACCCACCACCAGACTGGGGGCTCAGGCCCCCCCCCACTCAATAAAAAGCTCTCACCCCTCAAGCCCCTCTCCCACCCCTTACAAAATGGTGAATATTGCTAGAGTATAGGCAGTACTTCCCTAGTCAAGGCAAGACAGCTTTGGAGCTGCTTAGAAGTGATTGCTACTGGATGAAAGTAAATCCGAGCACTATTCTCTGAGAAATGAAACCTGTGTAGGGTTAATATCGCCTACTCCTATGGCTGACCCTCCTCGGGGTGGGATCTGAAAGCAGTGGGCTAGTGTAGAGTAGAGCAGGGGCTGGCAGGCAGAGTCTCTCAAGGCAGGGAAGCGGAGGAGTAAGAAAAGGGAGCTTTGTCCTCCCGACCAGGCAGCAGACGGCCAGGGGAGGCTTTTGCTCTGATGAATTCTCCGTCAGGCTTAAAGCCTCCTCTCCCTGACAGCCAGCAGAGAGAGGAGGGAGCCAGAGCTGGCCGTGCGGGAGGCGGGGGCATGCTGGCAGCACTCACGGAAGCAGGCGACAGTCATGCACGGCACCGCTGGTTCTGGCGGCTGGAGGTTCGGTGCGGGAGGGCTGGTGAGTATTGCACTGCGGCTGCGAGGAACCTGCCCTGCTTGTGGTGGAAGGATGGCTGGACGGCAGCACGCGGCGCTCGGGCGGTGCGGTGTAAGCCGACGAACACACATGCCAAGATTCATTGCGGGAGCTGTTAGTGCGAAGATCGTAACTTGTTATAAGTCTGCTAATATCAGAAACCAGTGAGGTAACACAGCGAAGATGAGGAAAAAGTCTTAAAGTGCCAATATAGGGATCTTTACTGTACAGGAGTAGAAGGTCAGACAGAGAAATTACTGAGCAAAGAGGAATTCAGCTCCCAAACCACCAGCTGCACTCAGACTCCCCCCCAATTTCTGCCACCATTGTGGGCACCACAAGCAGCGAGGGCAGGCTGGGCTCCCACTGCACCGAGGTGCCAGAGCCTGAGGTAATTCCCCCTTTCCTGGAGTCCAAGCTCAGAGGTTACCCCACCACAAGCCAGCTTTAGGAGGACAAGCACTCCAAGGTGTGTTTCCCCACAGCTCCTGCTTAAAGAGCTGAGTTACGGATAGCACGGAGCTCCTGTTTTGAAATGGGAGACGTCCCAGCAAAGCCCCCAGGACATCGTCCCAAATCAGAGCTGCTTTGTGGCAGAGAGATGAAGCAGGTCAGACAGGTGGTAGTGCAAGTATTGCTCAACACAGCCTTGAATATCAGATACTACAGGTTTGATAGAAGGAGCAAGGAGGAGTTATTTATCAATTTATGAGTGCAGCTGAACACAGGTCAAGACCACTGTGACTAAGAGATCAGCCAACACTAATCATCGATCCTGCTCCGCTGCTCTGCGCTGTCAGCCTGGAGGAAGATGTGAGTGAGTCAGCAGGAAAAAAGTTTGTCCCTCCCTCCTCAAACCCGAACAGCATCAGGTCATTTTCCAACAGGAAACAAGCTCCCGTGCTGAGCGCTTCTCCAGAGCTGCGGGTCAGGCAGGACGCAGGGAGCTTTTCCACTGCCCGATGTCACCTGCATTACTCACTGAGATGCCTTTTCCCCCAGGGAATCTCGCCTCAGCTTTAGTGTGGAAGCCGTTCGGGTGCACTCCAGTCGACAAGGGGACACCTGAAGTCACTTCAGAAAGCAGGCATTTTCCATGGACATGGAAGTCTTTCACCAGCAGACCCAGTTCACATGCAACAGGAGGGCGCAGTTAGGAAAGGAAAAGGCCTTTAAATATGTTTTAAAGGCGTGCAGCCCCGCACACAGGCACACTGCTCACCTTCAGCAAATGTGACACCACACTGCTTCCCAAATGCGACCTAAAAACACCATCACAAGCAACCCCTGACCTTGGAAATCCCTCTGGAGACTACCACGAGCTCAGCTTGCCCGGCTGAGCTGACCTCACTGTAAGCCACCAGAAACAACACTAACATTTAAAATAGCCTTCCTGCCCAGCTGGTTTATATCTCCCGCACTACCCCAGAGAGCCCTTTCCAGAGGAGAGAAAGAGGCAGCAGCAGTACCGAAGTGCAGGTGCTGGTGCCAGACGACAGCGTCCCCAAGGAGCCTCCTTGCCTTCAGGACACAGGTTTCAGAGCAGTGCGTTTCTCGCAGCAAGTTTCAGTGGGGTCTAAGCCACGCTGACAAATGCCAGACCATACACAGAAACTTCCCCAGGCACAAAAGGAACATTACATTCATCTCCAGCACTGCCTCACATCATCACAATAAACAGAGGTTTAAAAAAAAAAAAAACCAAAACAAAACCCAAACCAAACAACACATCAGCTCATTTTGTACAATCTCAGCTGTTCTCACCCCACAATCAGAAGAATGCTAAAAAGAAATAAAACCAAGGATATTTCCTAGCAAGGCTTTTCTTGCTTAGAAGTACCATGGGGGCTGCTACCGCCACATAGCACTGGGCAGAGCAGACCACAGCCCAGGACCAGTGGCCAAGGAGCAGCATCTCCTATGGGACTCCAGAGGGAAGCACTGTGCTCGGGTACAAAGCTTTCCACACTGTCAGGAACAATCTGGGAGCGTCACCATGCCAGTGGCACAACCTTTACGGCACAGGCAGCGGTGTAGAAGCTTTGAAAGGCAAGTCCCCAGCATCCAGGCTCAGAGAGCGGCAGTTCTGCCCCGTCCAGAGCTACCCAGGAGCACCCTGGGAGAGGTAGTCGAGACACGACAAAGGCTCAGCCAGAAGCAGCATGCAGTGACGCTGACCCTGCTTTACCATAAAGGACAAAAGTCAGCTCCCCAACAAAAAAAAAAAAACAAACCAACAAACAAACCCAAAACTTTTACAGATACAACGTCGAATCCAGTACATTCATCCCCAATCTCTCCTGAGCACTAGTATCTCACCAGCCAGGCAGCCTGCTCTAACAGCCTGCTGTCTCACAGCGTAGCTTCAGCTGAATTGCACTGTTCGTTTCCCCATCACAAAAAGCACCTAAAAATGAGCCCCCACCCCTCAGTTCCCCTCTCTCCTTAAAAGGCCACCCTTGATGTCACACGCTTTGAGGATTCCCGGTCTCCCTCCCACCCTTGTTGGAGGTCGCTCAGCAAACAGGACATGACAAATTAAAAAGGCACAGTGCTCTACATTCACAGCAGCGGGCACCTCGGTGCTCACTAGCGTTAAGGAGTCCTTCCACATTCCAGATTTTAACAAAGCTGAGGGAAACTGGCAAACTCTTTCTGGAGAGAAGCACATGTGTCTCCACTGCACTCCCATCCACCCAGGGACAACCTGTCCTGGGAAGTGTCAGGAAACTCAGAAAAATGCAGGAAGGGACACACCATCCGCTACCGCTGCGCACAGATGGATAACTGCGAACTGCCACCCTGCCACGGAGCTTCTGAGCTACACTCACATGAGACACTGGTGGATTAAAAAACTTCACGTGGCCTTTACATCTCCCCTCTGGTCTCCGCCCTGGCTCCACAGAAGGGACCAACAGCATTTGGGGCTCTGGCAGAAGTGTACGGAGCACTGCGTTGTTTTGGGGGCTGCACTCTAGTAAGTATTGATCCCCAAGAGAGCCCACCTCTCTCTCCCTGCCATAATCCCCCGGGATGCTGCCATGATACGCTTTAAAAGTTAATAGTGCCCCTTCTAACATTTAAAAACAGAGTGCCCGGTGTTTTATGTGATGGAACATCTACGTTCTTGGCTACAGGGAACCACACAGAAATCCGGTCCCTTGGACACCGATTTCTGTGGAGCAGAGACGCTTGCAAACGCATCGTCTTCTTCGCCCCTTCCCGATGTTATGAGAGCTACTGCAGACAGCGTCAATGTCAAGCACGGATGAGCTTTGTCAGACTCTGAGTACGCAGGCAGACAGCCCACGCAAGGCTAGATTTTGTACAAAAAGCTGGGAACATAGTCAAATCTGAGCAGAGGGTTCACCCCCCGGCCGGGTTCCTGAATGTACTGCAGCTTCAGCAGCTCAGCTAAATACTGTACAATTTTGATATCTTCATTGGCAAGGCCGAGTTGAAGCTTCAGGAAGTTCATCCTGCGATTCACGACGGATTCCTCCGGTTCCCTTTCACTGATGGGAAGGTGCAAATGATGGCAGAAGGTGAAGAGGAAGGCTTTTGAACACAGCTGGGTGAGGATACTTTGGACGTGCATATAGTAGGTGCTTCCTCGTTTGATCTGCGTGCGGTGGTCTGCCAGCCGGGACACCAAGGTGCCTTTGTAAAGCGGGCAGCGGAGAGTCTTACTGTCGGCGTCCAGAATGCTGACATACCGGCTGTATCGGCTCAGGGCGTGCAGCACGTTCACCCCAGCAGGCGACACCATCCTGAAACAGCAAGGAGAGAGGTCACGGCTGGAGGGGACCAGACAGTTAAGCAGCAGACTGTGTCCGTGCCCCTGTATCGCATGTACTTTCCCTCTAGTTCACGAGCTGGTACAAGAGCCTCTGTGGGCAAATGAAGTCTGGCACAGAAGAAAGTGGCCAAATAGTCTCTCCAGCCTGCCAGATCCCAAAGAAACCTCGATCTCCTGGATGCCCACATGCACTGATCCACACTGTGTGTATGTGCTACTTCATAAATCACCGCACTTCAGGGCAGCTTCCTCCCTTGGCGATACGGCGAGGCAGTGATAAGACATCTCTGGTGAACAGAAGCAAATCTTGCAGCAGCTGCTAGCTTCTGGATGTGACAACAAGGACCCAGAAACCCAGATCAGACCCCCTTGCCAAGAGCTCCACCTTCCCCCCATACGGCTGTTTTGGGAAGGAGCAGCTCTGAGGTGGTCGAAGCCCTGAGTGGAGCAAAACCTTTTGCCCTTCCTTTAAAAAGGGAACCATCCTTAAACCAGAATATTCCTTGGCTGAGCCTGGGCATTTTTCACTCAGGTGCAAACCCACAGCATGTTCACAACATAACAATTATCCAACAAGACTAAATCAATGTTATTTAAATGCAAATTACAAGCCTACGCAAACTCTACCTTCTGCTCCTCAATTCTGCGTGGTTAAAGTCGCTCAGTTGAGATACAGCTCCCAGCCTCAAACCAGGAGCCCCAGCTGCTGGGGTAAGGGCTGCCCCTGTGCCCAGGCAGCATCTGGCCTTAGGAGACACAACACCCTTACCAGAATAATTGATTTAGCCTCTAAATTCCTTCCCAAAGCCCTTGCACAAATAGTTTGCTGAAAGCACCCACATTAAACTCAACACTTAATTAACATTCCACGGAGAAGAGTTTAAATGACTGACACATGTTAAAAGCAGTTCTTAAAAAAAAAAAAAAAAAAGACACTTTTGTTTATAAAAATTGCATCTAACCACAAACGGTGAGTAACAAGTAAACACTCAGGGCTTTTAAAAACCTCACCGACAGACAGGGAAGTTTGGGAGCAGCTGTGGGCAGAGCTGTCATCCTGCCTCGCAAACACAGAAATGAGGGTAACTCACAGCTTAGGATAATTTCATCATCCACAACCCTCAGCGATGGAATACTCAGCAGTCCAAAAAGCAAATTTCTGTATTTTGATTTTTGTGCTGCTCAGAAACACTCTTTCAGGAGCTATTCCAGCCCTGCTCCGAGCAATGGGCTGCCACTCCGACTCATGTTTTCAACGCTGGTGACAGCAATGGCCATTCCCTGTCATACCTACACCCAAAGCGCCAGAACTCATCCTGGTAAACACAAAGAAAATCCTTTTCATAACAGCAACAAAGGCAGGGCTGAAATCTTGAGAGCTGAGCAATCACTATTTGCTAATGTAAACTATGAAGCCACACTTCAGAATTGAGGGTTGGGGAAGGGGTGCTTGCTTTCACAATGGTCCTCACCCTGAGCAGGAGCTTCCTTCGCATCTGAACTGCAATCCCAACACCACAGCCCACTGAGCGCCGCAGACCTTTTCTCCTGCACTAAGGCTTGTTATAAATAAGTCTCTGTTCATCTGCACCCTCTCGAGGAGAGCCCAGCAGCTCCACAGGCTCCACGTCTCTGGCTTTTCCACAACACCCGGCCGGCACACCCTTGCCAACACAGCCCCAGGCGCTGGCACTCCAATTTCTGACCTACCGACCTCATCAACAGTAGCATCATCTCTTCATTAGGGTCCACAAGGAAAAAACCTCCCCATGTCAAAGCATCCATTTCAAAAACAAAATTCTGGCTAGAAACATCAGAAGAGTTTTGGCAGAGGACACGGGAAAGCAGAGCATACAAGGGGACCCCAGAAGCACTCTGTTATCAGACCAACCAGGAAACCAGCAGGACTTGTGTCTTTGCTTTGTGCTTTGCCAGGCGAAGACCTAAACCAGAGGGAAACCTCCTGGCCAAATAACTAGCATGAACCAGGCAGCAAGTGTCCAGCAGATGTTTTAAATATTTAACTCCCAAGTGAGGCTGGATATAAAGAGACAGACAAATCTATCCCCCCTTCCACAGATACATCCCATAAGCAGAAATTCAGGGCAGCTGTGTAGGTAATCAGAGACCTCCCCAGCACACCCATTCCCCTCTGAAATTCTCACTTAGGAGAAGTAGTATTTATCATATACCTCAACACTGATAAAGCAAACAGACCCTCGATTTACCTCTGGAGCCCGATCAGCTTCCACTTCTGGAAATCCACAACGTGCAAAGGGGAAGTGACCCAGTGCTTCACGGGCTTGGCATAAATGCCGCAGTTTGGCACAAAGATGGAGAGCGCCGTCACAAGCTTCTTGACTATCGCTTCCTCTTCCCCCAGCACGATCAGGGTCCTCCCGCTGAGTAGGGAGTAGATGGCGGGGTGAGCGAAGGGGTACTGCCTGATGAACCGCAGTGCATTCTGGCCAGCCTTTTTTTTGTGCCTTTCACTTGCCTGACAAGCGGGGTGAGCGGGAGAAGGGGTCCTGTCAGAGCACGTGGAGGCAGCGCTGCTGATATAGCTCATGGAGTCCGAGCATTCATCCAGGCTGCTTTTACTGACCTCCCTGTTGCCCGTCAGGTAGCGCGAGTCGAGCTCATAGGGAAGGAGCCCCCCTGAGATGCCGTTGTGGGAGGGGAAGCCCCCAAAGCTTCCGTGCAGCCCCTGCTCGGCCTGCCGGTATGGCTGCGGGGGGATCCTGACCACCCCGTCCTCGTCGCAGGGCTTCTGTCCCAGGTCAGGCAGAGGCTCGAGGAAGTTGGGACTCTCCTTCCCGATACAACAGGCAGAATCAACCTGCACTAAGTTTTCCTGTTTTGAAACGTCTTCCTGCTCGTCAGTATTGTCCAGGTTTAGTTTGGGGATGAAACGAAGGCCTCCCTCTTCATCGTCCATGTAAGGTTCCTCGTTAATGGCACTTGGGTAGCTCGCTTTGAAATCTTCTGGGATGAGCGACTCAGAGGGACACGTGCTGAGAACCTCGATGCTGTCCTCGCTGACAGTCCGCCGGCTGCCCACCTTGCTCCTGCCCACCTGGGGACTGGGGCTGACAGGCAAGCTGGCCTGACTCTCTGATTTTGTCAAGCCAGACGCAGACTTCTCCGTTCCAAGAACCTCGATGCTCTCACCGCTACTGATGCTGCCTTTAATATCTGCATCGAGATAGTCCAGATTCTCCTGGTGTTCGAATGTGACGGAGTCAGTCATTTTGGGTTCTTGGGAGTCCTCGATTTCCTGCTCCATCTTGATGGGCACACACTCCACACTGGACTTGTAGGATCCCAGGCTGATGACCACTTTAGGAGCGGGGGACTCTTCCAAACACTTTCTGTCAACAGCATCTTGACTGAGCCCCTGGCAGCCTCTGTACTGTTTTTCAGGTGGCTTTTCATCCAGAAAAGATACATCCTCAAAGAGGAAGTTAGTTACACTTTGTTGCTTTAAGAGTGCCCTGCTGATCTGGTCTGTCAGGAGGTAGCACACGTCACCTCTGAAAGTCCTCTCGATCTGGTGCAACTGGTCAAGAGTTTGGGTGAAAAAATAAATATCACAGAGTTCCTCCAGCGTCTTCAGCTTCTTGTCAAAGCATTTGGCAGACTTTGCTTTGATAAGCTTGGGGGTATAGGAGGGCACGTGGGCATAAAGGTGCGTTTCACCAGGCTCAGCAAGGTCGGAGGTAGTCAGGTCCTGATCGCAGCCTGTGTTGGCCTGGTCCAGCGCACACTCCGGCTCGTAGGGGTGGAAGTCAGACTCCTTCAGCTTCCTGTAGGGATACGACCTGATTTGTTTCAGCAGATCTTGGTGCTCAATGATAGACTTTTCCACACTGGCCAGCTCGTTGGCCTTCTCGATGGCTTGGGTCGTGTAATACCCTTTGTCATTGGCTTTCTTCTGTATCTCGGTTTCGTTGTGCAGGACAGTCCTGGTGTAGTCGAGATCTTTCAGTTTCTTTTCCAGTTCGTTAGCAAAAGCTTTCCTGTTCCCTGTCTTTAGGCATTCGGAGGCTTTGGAGAACTCTGCAGAGAGTTCCTGAAACTGCTGCATGATTTTGTGCTCGTCAGCAGAAATATAGGCCATGCAGAAGGGCCTCACAAAACCCCTGGCTTCGAGGTCGTAGAGAGTCAAGTGGTGCACGTACGCAAAGGCCCCTTCCTTCGAGTCCCCCAGCACCACTTTGGAATCCTCCACAAAGTTCAGCTTCGGGTAGGCAGAGCCGGGAGGGTGCCCCACAAAGGAAGCCTGGTAATCCACAGACATGATCCGAAGGGAAAAATAATTGAGATCGAAAGTGCCCGACACTTTGGCGTCATCGGGGATGGTCAGGAGGGGCTGGGGCCCCACTTGCTCCGAGAACTCGGAGATGAGGATGAAGTCCCGGGTGAACTTGGAGCCGGCGACCTTGGCCCAGGGGTTGGCGCCGTGGCTGGCAAAGGGGAAGAGCGGCACCGAGTACTCCTCGGGCAGGGGCGGCTCGCTGCACAGCTCATCCTCCAGCTCCTCTTCTCTGGTGAAGGCCACCACGTCAGGGGCGCTGATCATATTTCCCGCAGGAGGGGATCGACATGGAGCAGCGAGGGCCCTCCCCGGTCGTCTCCCTCCCCCGCCACCTCCGGGCCCTGCGGGAGGCCCCGCCGCAGCCTCCTTCTCCCACCGCCGCCGCCGCTGCCTCACGCCTCCGCCATGGCCGGGAACCGCCGGTCCCGCTGCCTCACCGGGCCCCGCTCAGCCTCCGCTCTCCCTCACGGGCGCCGCAGCCCCGCAGCCATCTTGGAGTCACATGACGCCGCGACCTCTCACCCCCCCTCCACACACACCCACACCCGGAAGCGAAGCCACCGCCCCTCCCTCCCTCCCGCTCTACCGTTGTCGGGATTTTTTTTTTAAACCGACCGTCCCTTGGCGTTACTTAACCCGGGACGGACCCGGCCGCCGGAGGAAACGGCGAACCGAGGCGGGACGAAAAAACTACGGGGTTGCGGTGCGCCGCGGGGCATCTTGGGAGTTGTAGTTCTCTGCCGCCACCGCTGCGGCGCTTTACGGCAAGGCGTAACGGTGAAGGAAAACCGCGCCGCGTCCCGCCGCTTTTTTGCGACAGAGTGAGGGCGGTGAGGTGAGGAGAGCTCGGCCGGGGGGAAACCGGGGGAGGGAGAGGAGGGAAGGGGGCTGCCCCGGGGGAGGGAGAGGCCGGCCGGGGTCGGGGGGAGGGAGAGGAGCCGTGGAGGGGGTCTGCCCTGCCCTGGTGGGCGGGGGCCATCCCCGGCCTGACGGAAGGCCTTGGGAGGGCTGAGGGGGCCGGGGGCGGCCTGGGGGTATTCAGCGATCGTTCTCCATCCTCGGCAGGATCCGGCCTCAGAACAAGGCCGCAGCAGCATGCCTTGGCTCCGCCGGAGCTTTAGCCGTCTCCTGCGATGAACTTTCAAGCGAGGGTCAGGATGCTGCCGCAGCCCTGGCGTCTCTTCTCCCGGGCTGCGGAGGATACGGCACTGCAGAGGATCCGGAAGGTTCTGTGTGTGGCCGAGAAGAACGATGCTGCCCGAGGGATTGCAGATCTGCTCTCCAACAGCAGAATGCGACGGGTAGGAATACACCGCATCTCCTTACCGCTTGCTGAGAGGCATACAGGTGGTCTGGCTTAGCTGGCTGGAGAGGGTCAGCTCAGCAGGGCCAGCGTGCAGTGCAGTCCTGGTCTCGGGTGTCATCTGTGTCTTGTGTGTTAGCCCCAGCGTGCTTGGCAGAGCTTGGCACAGGCAGTTCACATCAGCACGTGCAACATCTTGCACTGTTTTTGCCTCTGGCCACGCGAGGTTACAAGAACAGCTTTCTTTTGTGGACAAACACCGCTTGCCCAAATGTATTTGGGACTCTCGGACCCCTTTTCCTTGTGACATAAGTCCTGTTAGAATTCAGATCCCCAGCTGTGCTCCCTCTGCCCAGACTGCCTTCTCTGGGCAGTGAGCTCCAGAGTGAGGGCTCCCTGTGTTGTTCCTAAGCATACACGAAAAGCTTCAGGAACTGAAACTATCTGTTGGCGTGTATTTCCCAGTGAAAAAGCACCACTTCTGCAGTGTCAGCAACTGTCAGGGGTTTACTGAAGTTCACATAATAAAGCAAAGATGGTCTGTCATTTGGAGAAGAGCGAGTTCAAAGATCTCTCCTCTCTGCTGCTTTGTTTTGTGACCTTTAACAGTTTGCATAATTACTTGGTATTTCCAAGGTAAGGAACTAGAAGGTGCTTCTAGACCAGAATTATATTTGAATGAAAGGTGTGACTGAGAACCTGAGCACTGACAGTCCCAGTCAAGGAAGGTATCGTCCTGATTCTGTAGAAAAAGCAGCAAATACCCAATCTAGAAACTTCCACGAGTCTCAGTTAGGTGGAAAGTGGTCTTGGGGACCTGGAGCTGGCACACTAATTGTCATTTGGAGCAGGACAGTTGAATGTCAGGAATATAACTGGCCAGCCCCATTAAACAAATTTGTTCTTTACTGTTGTCACTATCCATGGCGAGATAACCCTCGCATCCCCTTCAGACATGGTTTAAAATATTCTTACGGCGGAAAGCACCATTTCAGTATCTCCATAAATGATACAGGCAATTTCCACTCACGCTGCTGCAATTCCTATTAGCTACAGTACCTGCTTTTCACTTGCCCCGTGCTTCTCTGTGCTCAGCCATAACGGCGTGTATGAAGTGAGGTGGAATGCGTTTGGTTTCTGTTAGAAGCCAGAAACTCAACAACTTTCCTTTTCCTTCTAGCGAGAAGGATTTTCCAAGTTCAACAAGATCTACGAATATGACTACCAGATGTTTGGCCAGGTAGAGTTTTCTTTCATTCTACTGCTAGATTAGAGAAGTGCAAAATGCTAATCGTTAAAAGCCATTTGTCAGAAGTTACAAAACACATACCTAGTGACAGGGATGTTTTGTCCAAAGATGAAGAAAAGTCAGATGTTCTTTTCTTGGCTCAACCCCTGACCTGTTTTGTTGCTTTAAGTCTTTCAACTTTCTGGTTTTATATCAGCCAAAAATATGTTGCTATTTAGCATTGGGAGCTTCCTACAAAAACTGAGGATAAGGCCATAGATTTAGCTGTCAGAAGAACTTGTTATGTTAGCAGGAGGGAGGTGTCACTGACCGTGTAAATTGAAAACTGCATGAAGATCTTGGGGCTGTGGGTAGTTTTTAGGAAACGATGGGCACTAATTACCTTGCTCTGTCTCCTGCAGAACGTTACTATGGTGATGACATCCGTGTCGGGACACTTACTGGCTCATGATTTTAAGCTGCCGTTTCGCAAATGGTTAGTTCTTAGTACCCCCTCACAGGAAGGGGAGCTGTCATCTTCTGTTTTCAACCCTGAGCTGAGCAGGGCACTGCTAGTTTGAAGACTAGGGAGCAGGGAGGGACACTGACACTGTGTGCTTCAAGGAGCCACACAGAGCAGAGTGATGAGTACCAAATTTTATGTAGAGTAGCTAAAATATTGTTTCAAATTACTCTCCTCAGGGCACTGAAAAACCCCAAAGTCATAATACTGGTTAAAATACATTAAGGAAGACCCAAGGAATTAAACTGATTCCACCACTTGATTGATGTTTCTGTGTTCTTTCTTCAACTAGGAGTTGTCCTGGGAAGCGAGGCGCTTTCTCTAGCTTCCCTCCCCTTTGTTCTCTGTGCTTGAAATAAGTTGCTTGTTTAGAGCTGCCTTCCAGATTCGCTGTTTTCTCTGGTTGCTTTTTGGTTCTATTGCTTTCAAGTGTAACTCAGCATTTCATGGGAACTCCCAAGTTGTTTAAGATGAGGCCCAGAACTAATTCCAGTACTTGAAGAGCACTCCCTCACAATACAGCACCAGTTAGTATCTCACAACGTATGTTTTAGCTTTTGTTACGCACACTCTTATCCTCTGTTTACCAGGCATAGCTGCAACCCTCTAGCTCTTTTTGATGCTGAAATTGAGAAGTATTGCCCTGAAAATTACGTTGATATCAAGGTACGTTGTTTTTAAGGGTTTCCCTGTAACTCTGGGTTCAGAGGTTATTCTACAAATACTGTCTCAGACAGAAGGAGGACTGTACCTTTGTCGTTAGCATCTAAGTTCTAGAGTTTAGCAAATTCCTCCTGCATTTCCTGAGACTATATATATTGTTCATTTGTGACTTTGAAAGTCTCCTGCTCAATTAGTGCAGTAAAGGAACAACTACTTTACTAAAAGTAGAAATGTTTTTTCCAACAAGGTGGAATTGGTAATTGCATCTCAATTTCACCAAAAAATGGCATTTTCAGAAAAAAAATCTGATCCAAGCCATGCTTTTTAACAGAGTTAGATGTAGATAAATTACTCAATTCTTTTGAAAGCTGCCTAATCTCATGAGACACACAATTACAAAATGTTATTGCAACAATCTATCTCTATGGATACACGTTGCATTTCATGTTCAGTTAGTGAGTCATTCTAAAATTAAATGACAAAGCAAGTGACTTGGTGTGTCTCACTCTGTGTTGTTTTCTCATCTCAGAGAACCCTTGAACGAGAAGTCCAGCAGTGCCAAGCTCTGGTGATCTGGACTGACTGCGATCGAGAAGGAGAGAACATTGGCTTTGAGATAATTCACGTTTGCAAAGCTGGTGCGTAGAGCATCTTCTGCATCAATCTGAGTTCCATTAAAGTGCCGATTTAACAGGTATTGCTGCTCACAGATCTTGCAACAGGCGTATTCTCAATCTTACTGCGTCCAGGTTAAATACGTTGGCTGTAGTTCTGATAAATATGTGGCTCTGATAGACCAGAAATATATTCAGCTATTGGAAAGCTATAGATTAGGTTGACACCATACTCTTTCGAAGATAGTTGTTCATTAGTTGCTCCTTTCTGTTCACGTTTGACTCGCTCTTTGATTTTTTTTTTAATTTTTTTTTTTTTTTTTTCTGTCTGACAGTAAAGCCAAACCTCCAGGTTTTCCGAGCCCGTTTTTCAGAGATTACACTTCATGCTGTCAGAACAGCTTGTGAGAACCTCACCCAGCCAGATCAAAAAACAAGCGATGCTGTTGACGTCAGGCAGGAGCTGGACCTCAGGATAGGTATGTAAACACATGCTAGAGATAAGAGCAGGCTGCCAGGTCTGAGCTGCTGCATACACCTCCTCTAAAGGGAAGTGAACAAGAGCGTGGTAGGTAGGCAGGGGACAGCTTTGTTATCAGTGTATAGCTTATTGTCTATAAATACTTGAACTCCCTTAGACTGGTGAACAAACAAGATAGCCATCCATCAGGCTCTTCCTCACTTCTCGTCTAACCACATTGAATGCACATTGTTAAAGCCCAGCAAGGGGTGTTTAGAAATCATCTGTTACTCTATCCCCAACACAAGACAGAAATGCCATCTATAGTGTCGTAAATCTGCTTTTTAGATCAGATGCAACTAAATCACATCTCATCTTTTACTGGAAACGTGCTCTTTGAAGCAAATGTTCGGTTTATAGCTCATGCAGCACTGACAGGCTTCTGCAACTTGGTGTGTTAAAATTAGAGTAAAATTAATACTCAGAGTATTAAAAAGGACCATCTGAAGTGTTGTGATTCTCCTCCAATGTTGTCTTACTCAGTTCTGGTGTCTGGTTTTTTT